GTGTGTGTGTGTGTGTGTGTGTGTGTGTGTGTGTGTGTGTGTGTGTGTGTGACTTGCAAAATTGTATATGTGCACACTTTTTCATTACCAACCTCCACAAACAACATATCCATTTTAGCTCACTCTATACCCAGCCTGGCAGCTCCTCCACATTTATAATTTAATGTACTTGGAGTACCCTTTTGAAATGAAGAATGGCAGTTCTTCCACATAAATATTTGCAGTTAATGTGGTTTTTACACTTGGAACTGTTTTCTGTCAGGGAAGAGCTTTTGCCTGGTGTCAAAATACATCTCGTGCTCTGTTGAAATGGGTTGGAGACACAATGGTCTAACGATGAAGCTTGTTTAACATGAAACTGTTTTGTTTTTAATACCAAGGGCAACTCAAATTATCCTCAATTTTATTCTTGTTATTATTAAGTAATACAATTTAATGTACAACAATTAAAGCTATATAACAATAAAATGCCAATTTCCATCCTTATCATTATTTACTTGATTTGAAAAAAGCTCAAAACTAAGAAGAGCACCATTAAGAGGATTGCATTTAATTGTGTTGATATTCTGCTGCAATGTGATCTCAAATGTTTGTACTTTTGTGTCTCACTGATACATGCCTATACTTAACAGATTCAATTATTTTCTTTCTCTCTCTTTCATTCCTCCCCCCTTTTATTGTAATTTCTCTTTTCCCGCTACAGAGCTGAGATATCCATCTCCACCTACACAGTATGTCATTTCCTCTGCCTGCAGCTGAGGAAAGAGGTAGGAATAGTTTGAGATGATCTGTGATGTCTCAGTTATTTCTCTCACAGTTTGACAGGCTCTTGAGGAATATGCAGTTACAGTATAAAGGTTTTATTTGCTTGTATTCTGTGAAACTGTGTGGTAGAAGTTGTTAGAGTCTGAACTTGAATGGTTACCCTCTTTAATTGATTTAGAACCAGACTAAGTCTTTGTGTGTCATGTTGTGTCTCTCATAACCAGCCTTTAAATTGGTTTCATTTGTTTTTTTTAGGTGAGAGTATCTTGACAGACTCTTACCAGCAGCACTAGATGCCGTGGGCCAGTTCTGTACCAGGACGCCCTGGGCTCCCTGCATGACAGAGGACTCTTCCATGTGCACTGAACTGAAATAATAATAACACAAAGCACATTAAAATGTTAAAAACAAAAAAAGGCCTCTTGAACATATAATATAGACAGATTCATGGAACTAAACTGGGATAAATACACAAAGATTTGCACTGTGCTATCCCAATTTTTTCATTAAAAATATATCAGAAAAAAAGTGATGTTACATACAGGACAGCAATGCAAAACATTGGTGCTAATCATGTGATGGTTTAGTTGACACAATCCCAGGAAAAAAAAAAAAACTAAATAAAAATTACACACACACACACACA